CAACCAGTGTATAGAGGGCCACTCTGGAAGCTTTTACTAGAGGCAGAGTATTAAAGCAGCATGCCTCACATGGTTCAAATGGAAGAAGGCTGTTGTAATAATGTTCGTGGACATTATGCAATATGGTTACCTGGATCTTTCTGATGAGGGTACGCTAAGAATCTGTATCAGTGATAGCATCTTTCTGACAAGAACACTGAAGCTGGGTGCTGGTGGCTAACACAATCTGATTTTTCTGACAGATAAACACTGAGAGGCCATTGTCTCTCATGCCCAGGGAAGGTATTTGACATTATTTATTTCATATTGTTGGTTACAAGGTGTTCCCACCTGTTAAAGGCACCTGAAAAATGAGAGAAACCTGTTCTTCTCAATGTTACTCAGTTCTCCTTTCATAACTTTTGGATATTCACTAATGGCAGTTGGGATTAAAAGAATGAACTTTAAGCCTTAAGTAAGCAAAAAATCAGCAGAGAGGAATGAAAGAAAAAATAAACTTTACACTGGTACCTCAGGTTAAGTACTTAATTCATTCCGGAGGTCCGTTCTTAACCTGAAACTGTTCTTAACCTGAAGCACCACTTTAGCTAATGGGGCCTCCTGCTGCCACGGTGCCACCGGAGCACGATTTCTGTTCTCATCCTGAAGCAAAGTTCTTAACCCGAGGTACTATTTCTGGGTTAGCGGAGTCTGTAACTCGAAGCGTATGTAACCCGAAGCGTATGTAACCCGAGGTACCACTGTACTTCAACTCTACATGCCTTTCCCCCTTTCCTTTGACTCGCCCTGAAACATATACCCGCCACCCTGACATTAAGCCTGAGAGATCCACCACAGTTCAGTCCATGTTATATCATTGAAGTCACTCTGGTCCAAACACTGGACAAATTGTGATGCATCCAATGTAAGTTCTACTCAAGAGTATACCAAATGAAGTTAATGGCTATGATTAGGTCCATTAATTTCCATGGATCTAATCTAAGTGGAACTTTCCTCTCCATCCTTACATTCTATTCAAAACCACCATGTCCCTAAGCTCTGCCAATATTTAGTCAGTTGAAATAGGATGCTGCCTATTATCTTAAATTACAGTCATACCTTGGAAGTCAAACGGAATCCATTCCGGAAGTTCGTTCGACTTCCAAAACGTTCGGAAATCAAGGCGCAGAAAGCTCCTGCAGCCAATCGAAAGCTGCAGAACCCGTGTCGGACTTTTGGGTTCCAAAGAACATTTCCAAACCAGAACTTCCAGGTTTGTGGCGTTCAGGAGCCAAAATGTTCGACTCACAAGGCGTTCGACTTCTGAGGTGTGACTGTAAATGTTTTGCTTTAGCTATAAATTAACAAATATGTCCATATTGTTCCAGCCTCAGGTATTTATTATGAACATTATTTATATGCCACCTTTGGGGATATAGCCCAGACAAGTCATCTCGATTGTAATATTGCAATAAAGGCAATGGGCAGTATTCAACTAATGCATCCCGTCAGCGCAAGGATTTACACTTGTGCAATAGGACTTTCTCCTCCTCTCCCATTCCCACATGCACCCCACATCCTTTCCAAATCTGCTCCAGAGGCTTTGGGGAACCCCCAGAACAGGTTGAGGGGCACAGAAGGAGGATCTCTTAGCGCTACTTTGGATTCAACCCAATGACCCAAAATAATTAAAATTAACAATGGCAGAAATGATTAGCAAGACCCTTTAAAACAATGATAGAGAGTAATAAAGCAACTAAACAGAGCTATATTTTGGAACATATTTCTGTAGCTGTTTGTTTGAAAAGAAGTTATTAAAATGAAACACACACAAAGGACAATGCCCACTACATATCCATACCCTCATATAAACTACAGTAAGGTAGTTTATTCTTGCATATACCTCACTTATCTAAACTCTAAAAGTGATAACTAGCCTTATAAAATTCAACTTTGCCAGTGAATTACAAAATAAACTACTAGAACACAGAGGGCATATCCAATTACAAAAAACCACTGTAGGTTTCCTACCTGTATAACTGTCACAGATTCTCCTTAGAATCCTGGGAACTGTAGTTTGGAACAAGCTGCTGCAAATCAGAAATCCCTTGCCCCTTTACAGAACTACAGTTCCCAGGGGGAAATAGTATCCAATCACTTAAAGCTGCAAAGCAGATATGCAATGCATACTGATGCTATGAATTTACCTTGTCAGGGCCCTGAGTTTTGACACTGAATACAAACATTCCTCCTTCCTCAACTAGCACCAGCACTGATATTTGGCGTGTAATGTGGTTGTGCAACTGTTATGGGCACTTAGTGGAAACTAATCATTGTATTTTCTGTTTCTATCTCTCCTCCCATAATCACTCAATTTTTAAACCATTTTGGGGATAGGGGATTTCCCCCTCTACAGCAAAGCTCTTCCATGCACATTTATATTTATAACTCCTACCCACAACCCACCTTTTCATTGGAGCAATTAGCACTGCACATGTGCTGGTATTATTTGATCTTAAGAAGTATTGGCTTCATACTGCCTAATATTTACTGTCCTTGACCTTTGTACTTGGAAAGGCCAAACTAATTATCTATTTCTAATTCTGAGAATATTCTTGGGGAATGTTCCCCAAGTGCATGAAGGGAGAGCAGAAATGTAATTAAACACTTTTGAGGCATACGTACACACAGTTTCATTTGAAAGGAAACTGCTAGCAGGCAGATAATCTCATTCATTTGTGTAAAAATTCTGATGGATATCAAGCGCTCTGAACAAAGGGAACATTTACATAGCTACCTATCGAACCTAAACATTAGACCCATACGTTCCTAAATTTAGGTGACACTCCCCACTCACAAATCAATGAATGTCAGAGAACAGGGATGGGCAGAAGGCAGGTCATGATCTACTGGAAGATATCTGGGTGATTTGTGGTAGACCACAATGATTTCTGACTCCCAATTGCATAGCTATAGCAATAACAAAATGAACACTTAAAAAAAATAAAGACTGCAGAAATGAACAAAACTTGGAATAACCAGGGATTGATTTTTACGTGGGAAAACTGAGTGAATCTCAGTTCTGGAACTCAGAAAAAAACCCTGTACTCAGCAGTAGCTGAGAGGCACCATATTCTTTCGTTCTAAGTGCAAATCTTTTGTAACTTGCTCCAGCTGGCAGATCTCAGGACTCTAGTAAAATACAAAGTAGATTCAACAAGGGCTGGAGTCTGACCTTCCCCCGCTGTAGAATGTACCCCACTTCCATGTAAAACATATCTTCCGAAATGTTTTCTGGCAGAACATGAAAAAGGAGAAGCAATAAGCGAAAGGGGAAGGTAACCAGTGAACCGGAACATCTTACCTGTTCATTCCAGTGGTGCAACTGACTGTAACGCACCTTGCAGAAAAGGAAGCCTTCGAGATACACAGAGTACAGCTGAAAATACACAGATTCTCTAAATAAATCCTCTTGGGAGAGTTAGGGGAATTTATCACTTCCTATTATCTGCATTTCAAACTTTCTTGCATAGAGCCCCACAATTCTTCTCATGCAGATCCTGCAAATTCCCCAGACCAGGGCATCCTCCTATATGACGGCACACCCACCATGCCTCCTCACCCTACAATCAACTCACAATTCCCGTCACACTGCTATTCATTCCCATGCCTTCCCCAAGTACATTTAAAGTACATTGTGTCCCCCAATGAACCCCTTAACAGAGCTGCAATCCCCAGCAACATCAACCAACTACAGCTCCCAGGATTCTTTTGGGGAAATAATGCACTTTGAGAGCACATTAAAGGGAGTATATGCAGCTCTCTGCCTACCCTAGGCTTGCCAGATATTTCTTATTTTAAAAGACTGGTCGCTCCAGATCATTTGATCATTTCGGGTATTGCAATGGGGTGCTTAACACAAATGAACAAGGGCAACCGTAATTTCTTCAAATATAGGGCGAGAATCTTCGCAGTTGACTTGAGAAGCAGGGCACAGCAGCATTTTATATTTCCCTTCTTTGCCGTTGTATAGTCTGAGCCCCCCTCCTTCGCCTTCTTATACACACTCTTCCCCCAACCCCGTGAAACCACGTGCCAACCACACTCTACTCTCTCAAATGATCCTCTTTCCTGGCGCATCAGTACAAATCTGTGCCATCCATGCACAGCCCCCCCCCCCCCGCAATCTTGACTCCTTCCCTACAGAGTTATTCAAGTTATTTGCCTCTGGCAATCACTCCCCACTCCCCATTCCTTTCACACAGAGGCTGTGCATCCCACCCACCCCCACCCTACATGCCACGCAACCCTCCGCCTCCTCCCCTCGCGTACACACACGCCCCATTCCCCCACCTCAGCTGCGCATAAAGCATCCCCCAACCTCAGCGCCACACGACGCGGACGCATCCCTCAACCAATTGCTTGCAACGGGAAGCCAAATCCACGCTCTCCTTCCCTGTGGAAACTCCCCACTTCCATCTCCCCCTCTCAGACCCTCCCCACCGCGCCCCACAACAAGCAGCCCTGGAGGGAAAGGCGAATGATGCAAGGCGGTTCTTAACCCGCGTCAGGTGCGCGCCTCTCGCCCTCCTCGGTTTGCGTCCCTTCAGCGCGCAAAAAAAAAAAAAAAGGCGCGGCTCCTGCCAACTTGCGGGCAAAGTGGCGCTTGCAGCGTGTGGTGCAGATGCGGCGGCTCTCCGCCGCCTCGCTACTTCCACACACACAGGCGCGCGCCTCTCTCTAACCCGCCTTCCTCGCCGCCAGCGCGGCTACTACGGTCGCCCACCCGCCCTCCCTCCCTCCCGCTTCCTCCTGGCTACTTCACCACATAGCGGCCGCCAAACTTCTCCAGCAGCTCTTCGGAGAGAGGGATGCTGAAGTGCATCTTCATGGTGGAGGCGGAGAGCAGGCGCGCGCGCGCCGCCTCGCCAGCCCAGACCCCGCCGCGTGCCTGGCCAGGCTGTGCTAATGGGGCAGGGCGGCCGCGGGAGCATTTGTTTTCCCCACGTGATGGCGGAGCCGGGACGCGGCTGTCTCCTCCCTCCGGAGGGCGGGGAGCAGCAGCAGGCCAGGCGAGGCGTAGCAACAGCAGCAGCAGCAGCAGGTGGAGGTCGTGGGGCGGCCGCGCCAGGGAAATCTCTTGGTTGGCTTGGCTTCGCTCCTTGAGAAAGACAAACCGGGTAGGGAGCCCTCGCCACTACCCAAAAGGTGCATTTCCCACCATGTGGCAGATAAGGTACTACAGTACACGGTGTATATTGAATTTTAGGGGGGGGGGGAGGAGAAAGAATAGCCTGAGCAAGCGATGCCCCCCTCGTTGCAGGGCCAGATTTAGGTTTGATGAGCCCCTAAGCTACTGATCAGAAGGTCAGTAGCCCTAAGCTACTTGCCTATCAGAAGGTCTGCGGTTTGAATTCCCACGACGGGATGAGCTCCCGTTGCTCAGTCCCTGCTCCTGCCAACCTAGCAATTCGAAAGCATGTCAAAGTGCAAGTAGATCAATAGGTACCGCTCCAGCGGGAAGGTAAACGGCGTTTCCGTGCGCTGCTCTGGTTCGCCAGAAGCGGCTTAGTCATGCTGGCCACATGACCTGTACGCTGTACGCCGGCTCCCTTGGCCAGTAAAGCGAGATGAGCACCGCAACCCCAGAGTCATCTATGACTGGACCTAACAGTCAGGGGTCCCTTTACCTTTACCTTAAGCTACTGAAGGTAAGGGGCCCTTTCTATGCCCAGCTGTCCTTTGTCAACAACAAATTGTCGCTGTTTTTTGTGTTGAATATTTTAGGGAGCAGGCTAGCAGGCGGGGCCCATTACATCATAGGAGCCTACACAACACAAAACACTGTTGCTGTATGTAGGTTCTATTTAATTTGTTTTTTTATCTTATATTTTGGAAATGTACATCCATTTTTTTCCTTTAAATTTTTTTGGGCCCCCCAAGAGAGTGGGGCCTTAAGCTGTAGCTTGTTTAGCTTACACATAAATCCAGCACTGCCTCATTGTATGAAGCCTCCCACAAAAGAATTTTGTATCCTTTTTACCCACTTAGTACATTTATATCCTGCCGTTCCTCCAAGGTGCCAGGGCTGCGTTAGCCATTAAGCCAGTGGTTCCCAACCTTTTTGTGGCCATGCCCCACCTAAGCATCTCTAAAATCCTGATGCCCCCCCCGTGACATAAATTGAAATTTTTATTATTCAAAAAGTGAATTATTCACGTGGAGGAAGCCTAAAAGGCCATTAACTGTTAATAACTCAATTCTTGAATTGCCCCCCTTAAAAATCAAATTGCTCCCCTGTGGTGTGTGTGCCCCACGTTGGGAACCACAGCATTAAGCAAAATAATGAAGCACGTGCTTAGAGCATCAAGGGAAGGGGAAAATTTATGCTGGAAAATTTCCACAGACCATGTGGTACAGCTGAACAGGTTCCACAGAAAAAGGCTCCCACAATATGTGCGTCATAGGTTCAGTGCAGCAAAAACAAGATTCAGTCGTGCTGAACTTTATAAAGTAATTGCAGAAGACAATATTTTACAGTTTATTATTGTTTATATTTGAATTTAGATCTACATGGGGGCACCAAAATCTTTTAAGTGCTATGGGCCTCTAAAGGTCTTAATCCAGCCCTGTGAGTTGCTCATAGAATCATAGAATTTTAGAATTGGAAGGGACACTGAGTATAATCTAGTTCAATGCAGGAGTCCCATGCGGGGACAGAACCTGCTCAAGGCATGGCGCTGTGGTTCTGCCCCCTCCCTTTTATACTCACACCAGCAGTGTCGAGTTGCAGCTCGGCATTCAGAGGAAAATCAGTCTCACACCAAGATAGGTTCCGAAATATGGCCATAGGCGCCGACCCCATGGGGCTTGAGGGGGCTCGAGCCCCCTCAAAAAATTTTTTGGGGGGGCTCAGCCCCCCCAATAATCTCGGGCGCCGGGGGTGGGGGCTCCTGCCTCGCTGCTTCGCAGCACCACCGCCACTGCCAAGGCACTGCCGGGGGGAATTTCCTTCCTCCTGGCGGTTTCAGCCCCCGCGAGAACAGGGGAATCCCGACTGGCCACACCTCCCAGCCAGCCAATCGGCTGGCTGGGGGGGCGTGGCTTGCCCTATTTAGGGCCGGAGCCACTTTATTTGCATATTCATGAGCTTATTTATTATTCATGAGCTTTCCCGGGCCCCCCCAATATTTTTTATAAGTCCGCGTCCCTGAATATGGCTGCCCCTAGGGCTAATGCAGCACAGCTTTTATTGTGTGAAATAGAAAGATACAAAAAATACAAGCCAAGCAATTTGTTCTAGCCAGCAGATAAAGACCTTGGTACTAGACCATGCGAGCGATCAGGCCATGCTACGTTAGCCAATCATATGGGACAGCACGAGCTGTTCACGCGCTGTTCATGCTCCAAGGATGCTTCTAGCTATGAAATCACCCTGTAACAATAAGAACTTTGCTCATGCTCTCATGTACAAGCAATCATTTTCCCACATATCCCCTTTTCTTGTTTATATTATTAGAGGAAAAGAGGGACCATTAGTCCAAATCGTACACTTCATTGCCTACGCGTCTACACTTTGCAACATAAATTCCTCTTGTAACCCCTGTGGTGGGCCGTGGTCGGTACCACCATGCAGTGCATTGGGAAATCAAAGAGGGTATGCATTGAATGCAACAACACACCATAATAAAACCAACAATACATGCAATTACAATCAATAATACTTCTCTTAACCATACTCCATTGGGTAACCAAGAAGACAACCACTCCCATGGATCAAAACCTTCAGGTGGATTCAAAGGATTATGGGCTATCATTTGTTCCATATGATCAATAGTAGCAGAGATATTGGTCGATTGATCAGTTATATACATGCAGCAATGAGAGTGAATCAAGGCACAAATTCCACCTTTAGAAGCAAGGATCACATCTAAAGCATAATGATGTTGAAGAACTACATTTCTTATTTCTGATATTTCTTTGTTAATCATTTTTAAAGCCAAAATGGTGGAATTAAACAAATTTTCTGTCCAGTTTGCCAATTTATGCAAATCACGGTAATTCATGGCTGCACCTAAAGAAGGCAAAAGTGGTAACATTAAAAAAAAACAAGAAGATCCATTAAGGTACTCATAGGTCGAATTACAATATAGATAATGACCTAAAAACTTATACGATTGTCCTGCATATTATTGCTAATCTTATATGAAGCATTTACTGGAATACCACCACCAAAACAAGCTCAAAACTTTTCAAAGCTTTTCAAAATCATTTTTCTCAGTAGCTAAAAGGCAGTAGCTAAGCATATGCTGTTTGCTGTAACTAAAAAAAATTGCAACAAGGTAGAGAACAGAGTCCATTGTCTTCCAGGCCTTGCTGAAGAACCATATTGCAACTTGCTTTCTGTCCGGGAACCATGCCAAAGCACAAGAATGAAACAACTGGAACACACCGAAATTCCCCTCACCCCCTCCCTTGCCAAGAGTCCACAATAGTTCCAAGACAGCCCTCTGTACATGCTCAGGGGAACACATCATAGGGCAGGACTCCTGAGGGAGGAGAAAAAAAAAGAAGAGATCTGGGGGGGTAAAATCCAAGCGATGCCAATAAGGATGAGAATGGTAAATTAGTCCAATGGCCACTTCCGAGCAACCTGTGTGATATTTCGTGGCTCGATTATTGGCATGTAAAAACCACAATCCAGGAGAAGTCACACAACCATTTCTGCAGATACAGGAGCCCATTTGCTGTAAATAAGCCTGATGTATTGCTCCTTGTACTGCTGAGTCAAAAGTCCAAACCCAACGAAACGTGGTGACACAGATGGGATGGTTGCTATTAGGGGGCAAAACCCAAGCGATGCCGGTCTGACGAGGGCATCCTTCAAAGCCAGGTTCATTTCCCAGACAGGAGGCGGCAAAACTGTAATGATATTTGATGGTTGAAGTGGCTTCCCAGGGAAAAGGGGGGCCAATGCAGTAGAGATGAAGATGGTCTTTCAACGTGCCAAGAAACACTGGAACAGCTGTGGAAGGTGACTTTATCCAGGGCACATCAATATGGCGATGTCTCCAATTGCAATGCAGGTTGAGGTCAGGTGAAATCAAAGAAGTTGGACCCTTCCACTGTGGATCTGGAAGCAACCTGTATGACACTAAAGGACGCTGCAATATTTCTTCCTTCCAGAAATGAAGTTCAGCAGGCGTAAAATTCCTGTTGCCAAATAACCAGGGTGACCAATATGTGATCTAAGATGTGCTGCATAAAATTGACAAGTCCTGGCCTGTATCAAAGATGGGGCACTTTGTGCTGGAGTGACATTGCTGTGCGATAGATCTGCACTGCGCACGAAAATGGTCCACTTTGCTACATCCAAAGCAGGTTTTATCCTTTGCAGGATTCTGGGGCACGGTGGAGGACAAAGCCGTGGCTAGCAGGCGAGCTTTGTGCATCTCAGTGCCCACTGACTGGCAGGCTTTAAGCACATCTGCAATGGCTATATTTGGTGTTGTCATCAAAGGGCGCAGCGCTTGCTTACAGTCCTCATTTTTATCAAACGCAAGCTGGCGGACAATCAGTTCTTGGGCTGCTATGTCCTGAACTTGCAGCTTAAGAGTGTTATCCAAGCGATCGACAAATTGTCCATAGGGCTTTGTAGGACCCTGTCTGATGCTGCCACCGCGCTCATTCTTGTCATCAGGAACAGAGGACAAAGCTTCTTGGGCGGCAGCCGTGGTGGCCTCCCAATATTGAGGATCGAGAGTTAGCTGTTGGGCAACAGTAAGAAAATTGCCTCCTCCCGTTAACCCATCGAGGACATCAGCTTGGGTTAACATGACGGGGGCTGGGGGTGGGGCGGCACCAGCAGCGGCAGCAGCCAAAGCAGCCTGATGATTAGCCAATGCAACATTATTAAGATTATTCCGAATCCCATCAACACGACGTTGGCAGGCCCAGTGCCAAGCTTGTATAAACAAAATCATTTGATGAGGCTGCATTACAGTGCGGGCCAACAGCTTAACATCCTCTGGTATCAAATTTTGTTGAAAAATAGTGCCAAACAAGCCCAGGGTGTAAGGAGATTGTAAACCATTGTCCTTGACAGAGGAATGCAGTTCCTTTATGAATCTCAAATCAAACTGTTCGTGCCGGGCTGGGCCTCCCCCTGGCGCGGCAGGAGCAATCACAGGGAAGAGATTAGGAGTTGTAGAATCAAAACCCAACAATGGGGCAGCG